CAAAAAGAGGCCTCTCAAATTCCATTTGTATGATGTGATTATTAGTAAAAGGATAAATAATAAATATTGTAATTTGGACAATGAGTAAGGTAAGTAAGGGGTTAAACGTCATTAACTTTAAGGGGTCTATGTGCTTTTCATGGATCCGTGGGGTTATTTGGGATTATTATTTTAGAAATGGGAGGTATATGTCTTTTTTCATTTTATTTTTCGCCTTTATTTGTTCATATAATAAGTTATCAGATTTGGCTTAGCTTGTTGGGTTGAAAAATATTGTTCAATATTGGCTTCCAAGTCGAGACAAGCCTACTTTGTGAGCTACCTTGATTTGTGGATACTTCTGATGGAGTACGGGAATGGGTTGGGTCAGGTATGGGTCCAGTCTGACCAAAAAAAATAAAAAAATTTAAATGCTATGTTAAATGTATACATCTATTATTTAAACATTATAACTAAAAATATATAAATATATTTTATTAAAATACTGTATATTAAATATTATTTCTATAATAATACTATTTGGGTTAGGGTCCAGGTCGGGTCCACATGGACCCGAATTCGGGCCTGAATAGTATTCGGGTCCAATATTTGGACCCATTCCCGAACCCAAGTCGGGTTCGAATGTCGGATCTGAAAGAAAGACCTATGTGATATTTTGCGGGGGAAATACATTTTTTTTTTTAAAATAATAATCACGCCTTATAATTTTGGCAACAAGATCACTCACAGATAGTTTTATTATAGACAATAAAAATTTAAAAAATAAATAACACATCAATGAAATAAATCTCATACAACCTAATAATGTGCTTGATAATACAAAATAAAAGAACTAACAAATAAAATAAAAGATGTCGGAGATTACCTCAACCGGACTTTTTACACCCCACACCGAATCACCATATCCAATAGTATGGGATCAGCGGTATAGCTTCAATCTCAAACCGAAAAAGCTAATTTCGGCCAAACTAGGTAACCACCTTTAAATATCTACAAAACCCTAATCCCCAAAAAATAACTCTAAGTTTCCTTCTGATTTCTTACCCTAGTTTCTTCTTAGGTCTAGATATGAGAGCAAATGTTAAAGAGAGAAAGCATGAGAGGAGTGAGAAGGGCGTGGCCCCTAGGGAGGAGAGAGAGAGTTTAAGAGAGAGGTTATAGGAGAGAGAGGTGTATAGAGATGGGAGGAGAGCACCCCTATTTATAGTGAAATTTAGGTATAGGGTTTCTTTAGGGTTTTCTATAGTTTGCCTATTTCTTGAGATTGAATATGGACCGTTGATCAAGGTGACTTGTGAGGTGAGAGATCTGAGCCATCAATTCTATAAATGGACCATCAATATTATGGAAGGTGTATGAATCATTATCCCCCTTTCTTTATACCATTTTCCCATCAATGTATTTAAATAAATCAAATCCATTAAAGATATAGTGCATATTATAAATTGCATATTCCATCTCATATTTTCCATAAGAATATTTCAATAATATCAAGTCAATATATTCTTTCAATAATCAAGAAAAGATATAGTCAATATTTCCTAATCAATATTTGACCATATGCTACAAGATATAGTTACCATATTTAATAAACTTGAAGACAAAGCAACAAGAGAAGGTATCCAAGGGTGGGGCGTGCCACCCATGTATGGTATGTGAGGCCCCACCCAATACCCACGTGATGGGCCCATGTGCACTATGGGCCCCCATGTATTTTTTTTAATAAATATTTTAAAATTAAACAAAATGAATTTTAAAATATGATAACTTTGTAAATCAATAACTTCATTTTTATAAATCAAAAAATAAGAAATAAAATATCAAATGACTTTTAAAAAATTCAAATAATAAATCTAAAATAGTTTAATAATAAAATGGATACAATTAAATTAATATGATGGGAAGTGAATCCATATGGTTCAGGAATTCTATCAACGATCACGGGGTACTCCACCTTCAACTGTGGACTACATACTACACTTGCTTTATCAAACCGATCCAATGTTTTTCATGACCCACAGTCCAAGCAAGGGCTCATTAGCAGGTCACCATAGTCTGGCCGATAAGCCAAGGGATCGCAATCCCAGTTTGTGGATTACAGGTCCTCCCCTAGAGAAGATTTAAGGTCACCATGACCTAATGCGACCACGACTCTATGACGCATAGGGGTATCTCTCGCACATGCATATGCTTAACCCAAAGGTGAATATATGACTTTTCTGAACGATCTATCAATATACATGCCGTGTGATGGAACATGAATGAGGTGTTTGCTCCAGTCTAAATAGGCCTACCATCACACATAAGGGTCACACAGTCTCTCGGCTTTCTCATTTAGGCATTAGCTCTGACCTCATCAAGGGCTAACCCAAAATCTTCATAGGTTAATTCTTTATGCCCAGATACCTTGGATTTTTCAACTGTCCACCCTAGATCGATAAGCACAATTCGGTATAAGCAAACATCATTTGCTTAGTGTGATCCTCGAGGGACCACACTCCCACTAGTTTATATTTCACTATAATGAAAGTATTTCAATATACACTCATAAGGCCTTTAAAAGCCATATAAACCCAACAGGGTCCATTGCCACCCTACTCGAGATGGTAAGTTTATTATGTTGTAGAGGAGTGACAAAAAACCAATCCAACTCACTGTCCACTCATCTTAACTCTCAATTAACCAAAGTTGAGTAATCTTTTTTTGACGAATAACCAAGCCAGACCAAGCCCCTCAAGCAGATACAAGGTTGGCTCGAGCTCGATTCAGACTTGTTCATGATAATATATATAGGAAAATTGATCAAAATAGCCATAAGATATGTACTATTGAACATTTTACCCATATGGTTTGATTTGATTTCAAAATAACCATCAAAAGACGTACGACCATGAGTTTGAATAGTTACAAATGTGTAAAATGCTAAATAGTGTATCTCGTGGGTATTTTGATAAATTTCCCTAATGAATATGTATATGTATATATATACACACATATACTCACACATACACACAATATATATAATAGTATATGATCTTTTGGATGACAAACTTAGATTAAAATATCATATTAATAAAGAACAAGTTGATAGAAGGTGTCGACCGTTTACAATAGAAATAACTTGCATATCAAAATTTCACTCAAAGGGGTTGTTCCAACATTGAAAATCCCTACAATGGATCATATTGACCTCGAGATACATGCATGTAAAAAAAAGATTCAAGTCCTAAAAATAGTACATTTTATAATACATTTTTTGAACCATATATTTTTAAAACTTTTGAAGTATTTATAGATGTTCTTGATCTATACTATTTTTAGAGGTTTAAAAGTCATAATTAGGGAAAAACATAAAGACCATTGTAATGATTATTCATTACTGAAAATGCATCTTTCAGCAAGATTTAGAGATGCACTCTATGAAAAGTGCTTTATGCATCGGGGGGACACATATCTACATTTGCATGCCTCGAGGCATAACACTCAACCTAAAATGCATGTTAAGTAGCGGTCCCTATAAAAAAAGATAAAAATAATTGGTCTAATTTATTCTATAAAATATGATTTTTATTTAATTAAAATAAATATTTTTATATATTCATGGTCTCCCTGTAAGAATTTATATACACTTAAAATATTAGATCATACGCACATAAAAAGCGTGCCCTAAGTAAAAAGGGACACAAGGGAATATCTAGATCAAGTGGTATTTCCAAACCGGCCTTAAGACAGTGTGATCATGATAGGTGTTCTTCTTACTTTTGAAAAAAAAAATATATATATATAGGGAGCTTTAATGCACATTTGGGTTAATTTAAAAGGGATGATGCCATTGAAATAAAAAGTTTTAATACAAACTAATAATTTACCTAAGATATATATACTTTACTTTGGTTCATAAATTTTGTGCTCACATAGGAGCTTGATTTGTTCCATATGCACAACTCTTAGGGGAACTTTTAGGGCCCTGATTTTTGTTCCATATCCATAAACCTAGCTAGAAGAACTTTCAGGACCCTAAAACTTAACAACTCAAAAGGAAAGATAATTTATATAAACAAAGAAGTTTTTATAAAGTTTCGATCTTACTTGTATAGCAAAGTTGCAATAATCTATACTATCAATTTATTTTAGTTCGATAGATCTAATAACATTTTAAAAGACGTGTCAAACCTACTCTGTCAAACTAAAACAAATATTTTACATTTCATAACCTTATATAAATAAAGTTTTACATTTCTTGATGGCTAGAATTGGGTGTCCAGAGGCTCACAAACTACTTTTTTCCAAAATACTCATCAGGTGATTCTAAAATAGACTCCAAAATTTCAGATTAGTTCATTTTATTTTTTGTGTGTTTTGCTTGAAGAAACAAGTGCACATTTTGCTCACGCCGGAGCACTATATGCAGCATTAAATTTTAATAAGGGGTTGTTTTTTCATGCGAATAGAAGTGAACAAGGTGAACCTCAGACTAGTTTTCTAGTCTAGCATTGGGGATGAAGATACTACTACTATATTACGAGGAAAGTATAGTTTGATCCGCATGACCATGGGAATTATCCACTGGCAAGGCCTATCTCCATCCATCTAATAAATGGACCGTGGCAAAAGAGAAAGTGGGATCAACTAATTCAGTATTCTAGATTATTTATCTCCTTTACCGTCCATCTATCATTTGGACAGTGACAACGATTACTGACTTCCATGCTCATATGGATCACAATGTAATCCACAGCCAAATCCTTATGGCAAATCTGTTATTAGTTATTGATTTGAGGGCAATATTGTCATTTTTCCAGCCATTGGCGCGTGCCAAAAAAATAATGGGTTGTGGCGGGAACAAATTCTACGTGTCGGTTTTTAACTCCCGCTCTAGCGCCCATGATCCAATGGTCATGAGCGCTCACAAAAAATCATCGGCCGTTTACAACCGTCCGATCTGACACTGCACCCACTCCAGATTTCATTACGCCTCTTCCGTCTTCAATTAAAGCGCACCAAATTCTTCATCCATTTTCTCACTCCAAAACACACACCCTCACTCACACACTCTCTCTAAAACTTAGGTTTGAATATTGGCGGCAATTGTCATATTTTATCTCCGTAAAATTTATAGATTCATGGCTTTTGTTGGTGATTATTGTCTTGTGAACCTGGCATTTTTGCAGAGTTCAGGGAAAATCGAAGGTGTCGCAGTTGCGGGAGCCCCAGGAAACCCTAGTTTCAGTCTCAGATAACTTTCTCCGATCTTCATTTGGATCGTTTTGTTATCTGTTTCGATTGGATTTTACGGTTGTTTTAGTCTCACTCGCATTTGCCATTTCCGTATTCGATCTGTGCTTTTTAAATCTTGCTTGTTTGCTTCGATGGGGGAATGTGTTCTGAACAAATGCTCTTCATCTGTAGAAGAACGTAGCCCTAAAACAAGAATGATCGAGCATGAAAACCCTAGGGTTTCTCCTGTTGCAGTCATGGCAATAGAATCACATGGGCAACCAATGGAGAAATCAGGGGTTTCTTGTGATATGGATTGTAGGGGTTTGGTATCGCCAATTCAAAGCCAGGATTTGCCTAAACGCAAGAGGAAGCGGCGATCTTTAGAGGGGAACATGAGTCAGGAAGAGAAGGAGTTGAAAATTGCTGCATTTCGTGAAGAAATTCAGGGTTTGTTAAGGTATTATGATGAATTTATGAGTGAGAAAACAGATTTGGGTGTGGATTTGAATGGATCAATGGATTCAGTTATTGCATGTTTAATCGAGGAGAGCGAATTGCCATTGAAAAAGCTCGTTGATAGTGTTCTGAAGAGCCTGAAGAGAAAGGGAGGAGAAGGGGCGAACATTACACTTTTGAGTGTTCAAAACTCTATTCATCGTGTTGGGATAAGAAATAAGTATGGTATTGAAAATCCAAATGCAGATTTAATGGAAGATGAATCAAAGCCTTGCCTTTGGTGCTGGGAGGTGATGGTTTCAAATCATTCCTTTATATCTATTGCACTTTCTTTCTCTCTCCCCCCTCCCTCCCCCCACCCCTTTTTCATTTTGTTGCTGTGCTTACCGTGTTCCATTTTTTATACTTACATGTCTGCATATCGCTCTACCTCTCTGCTTTCTCACGTTGTGGGTTTTTATTGGTTTTCTTATTCATCTCGGTTATTGATGGATGGTTTTTTGTTCGTTTCTTATTCATTTTGGTTATGGATGGGGTTTTTATGGTTTTCTTATTCATTATGGTTGTTGATGAATGGAGCTTTTATTCGTTTTCTTATTCATTTTCATTATGAATGGGGACTTTCAAGATACTGATTCATTGGCCAATATATGATAGCATCTGTCATGCCATTGTTTTATCTCATTCTCTGGCTATTTTTATTTTGTGAGAATGAAAATAGTTCTGACTCTTTATTAGTTTTGGTTTTTGGACCTACTATTTAAGCATGCCTATTATGGTTTTTTCCGCCATCTGTGCGTAGTTTCCTCTTTATGGCTTTCTTTTTGTGACCCTATAAACTTTACCATGGTTTCCTTTTGCAAAGCTGCGGAGAAATTCAAGTTTTTGAATAAGTGGCTTTTGTGCACATTACAGTTTCTTTTAGATATTGTTGTCTCTCTGTGTAACTATTTTATTTGCAATCATTGGATTTTATTGATTATTGATTTAGTGGTGGCTTTCATGTTTTTGAACTATTGTATGGTATGTATTGAGATACTTTATTTTTTGTTTAGATTTTACGCAAACAGTTTTTTCTTTTTTGTATTTTATTTTCCGTCTATTATTATTTTCGGTGATTTCCTTTTACTAAACTATTTGTTTAAAATGATACAGACGAGAGAATTGAAGCTACTCCCCAAGGCCCACCATGGAATTTTGAAAATTAGGCGCACTGGTCGACGGAGGATCAGGGAAAGAATTGCTGCAGTTTCTGGTGGGCTACCTGATTTTGTGTTTTACTATGCAGTCTATGCTTGACTGTATAATATTCTTTCTCTTTATTCTGCTTTTCTCATCATTTTGGCAAAGTGATAATCTTTCTTATAGCAAAATTTTTAAAATGAAAGTTGAAACACAAAAGGATTCCATTCCTATGGTGTACTGTTTGGCATTATCATGGTTTGCTTCATTATTATTTTTCAGGTGCTGTGTACAGGAGCTGAATTTGAATCTATATTTTTTATCCCTTCTGGTTTTGAAGGTTATTGACATTGTTTTGCCGATTTCAGAGATGATATCATCATTGTCAGCACAAGAAAATGAAAATGATTACAAAGCAAAAATAATGGAAGCATCTGGAAAACTTCGGAAAATATTAAATTTGGAACGTATACGTGATTTAGTATCAAACTTACTGCAAAAGATTGAAGCAGGAAGGTGTGTGCTTATAGTTGGTTGTACTTAGGCATTGTGTAAATGCATTTATGTTCTTGACTGCTCTAACAAATCTAACCAGTTTATACATAATCCAGGGAGGTGATTGGGGAGCAGGAGCAGAAGCTATTGGATCGTGAGCTTAAAAATATGGTAGAATTGAAGAACTTGGTTGATTTGCATTTGTTGATAGTTGTCATCAGAGAGCTTAACATGCATTAGGTTACTGATTTTTAATGTGTGAATCAACATGACACTGTCGCAGGAACAAGTTTTCTTATATATTTGCTAGGCACGTACTAAATGAATGTCATCATTAGATTTATATCCTCTCCAGAGCCCTCTTCAGTTTGGCTGGGGAAGAGAAGTGCTTCCGATTGGGGGAAGCCTTCAGACACTCTTTAAAGGTAAAATATAATAACATCCATATGGTCATAGTAACATTCGTGACCTATGGGTTTATCATCCTTCAATCAATTGGTTGGTCAGTGATCAAGAGAAAGTATGGCTGTGCAAATATTTATTGAAATTGTATGGTGGGACTCTCCCTTCAACACCATCTGACCCAGATGAGACTGATTCTTGGTCATGAAGTTGTTATGGCCACAAAAATGATATTATATGGGTCATTTGTTTAACAAGCACAATAGACAAAACTTTTGGAGGGTATGTGAGCCTGACCTAGGCATACTAAAAAAAACAACAAAAAAAAAGAGCAAAAGTAAAATTAACAATAATACGCGTAATCTTGTTGGTGAATTGCCTAGATTGCCCTTGGTGGTTCAATTTTGGTTATTGGGCTGATACATTTCCATCAGCCTGTGGGCTAGCAGAAGTGCTGCTACACGTACACGTACATACACGTTCTTTTTTGTTTGAAAGGGCTGAAAAGGCCAAAGGATTCATCATAATATTTTTTATGGAAGTTTTCTGGATATTGTTAGTTTGGTATTTGTAATTTGAAAGAATGAAAAAGTTTATATAAGGATGCTACCTT